GTCTCTCATAACAGGTCACAATGCTATATAATCAATAAATTTGTGCATTGAGAATTTTATCTCTCAAGACAGGTGGTCTCACATAGCAGTGATCTTTCAAGACAGGTTTTACTATAGAGAGTAAGGGATATATATATATATATATATATATATATATATATATATATATATATATATATATATATATATATATATATATATATATATATGAGGAACCATAGCAGACAAAAGATGTTCCAATGAGAAAATTGCAGTTGAAGTTTCAGTGTCGTACATCAAGAAATCCAATACCATGTGTTGGATCAAATTGTATGTCCTTAAAGTTCCATGTGATACTTATTTTTCCTTCGTAAATAAAGCTTGATAATACTGATTTCTTTGAAAAATAAATGCTGTATTTAGTTGAATAAAAGATTCTGCCAACAATATTATTTTAAAAAGTTTTTTAAATCTTTCAAACACTAACATTATTTTTTGGTTGCTATGGCAACCACAGTAAATCTATAATTACATGTCTTTCCAGCATGATTAGTATAGGTTCTTTAGCAATGAACTATGTGAATAAAATTATATTTTATACTGAGAAAATTTGTGAATAATAACTATACAAGTATTGCATCAGCTAAATATTGTAACATACTGAAATATAGATACATGTTTAAAAGTTAACTTTTATTTATCTAGCCTAAAATTAATGAACTGAGGATATGTGATACGTAGAAGAAACAAAACTGTTCACGTACACATTTAAAAAAAAACATTTGATGGAAAAGTTTACACTTTATTTGTATTTTTGTAAAAAAATACTTTTCACCCATATTCTCTATTTGGTTGCTATGGTAACCATGAACACACATCATTTTCACTGACTTTTTTGTGTGTTTACAATCTGCATATATATATATTGCATATATATATTGCATATATATATATATATATATATATATATATATATATATATATATATATATATATATATATATATATATATATACATAAATATATATATATATATATATTTATATATATATATATATATATATATATATATATATATATATATATATATATATATATATATATATATATATATATATATATATATATATATACATCACTGTATACAATTTCACAGCAATCTGATGATAAATAACTAATTATGAAGTTGTTATATGGATTTAGCCCAAAAGGTTTGTATTGTTCTGAAACAATTTAGCATACACAGACAGAGCAGTTAAAAATAAATCAGCACTGGTTTCAAGATCATGCAAAAACAACACAGCACTACCAGGGTTAATACAGATATCATGGTAAGTTGTCACCTATACATTTATATTGCATACAATGTTCAAATTCATTCTTTCAGCAGTTTATATATATTAATTGACATTAACAAGATGTTAAATTTATGACATATTTAAATAAGCATCTTCCCCATCCATCATATTACAGCTGTAGAGCCCACAGGTCTATTAAAATACTTATAATGATGCAACAAGAACAACAAATATCAAATAAAACATGGCTAATTATTATGTAAAGAGAAAAGCAGCTACAGTTAAAGGAGGCAGAGTTTATAATGCACTATTTAAAAGATGTGCAGTTTAATTTTAAGAGTTACTTCAATAATTTTGACTCAAATAGGGATCTGGTGTATTTATTTTCTCAGTGTGTCTTATATAAAATACAAGTTAGAATCTATACTGATATCAATCTTCTGTATGCACAGTATTTTCACAACTGTTTCTAATAATTTTCATTTGTTGTTACTGATGAACTGCTTATACTGCCTGAATCAATATGTTGTCCATAAACCACTGTTAGTTTTTTTGTTTTCTTGATTACATGTCTGTTTGTGCATTTGTTTGTTAAGTGTACCATACCTTTTCTGGAGCCTGACCTTGACCCTGCCCTTTCTTCAGGAGGGGGAGTTTTTGGAGGTTCAGCTGGGGGAGGAGGTGGTGGAGGCTAAAAAAGGAGGAAATATGATCCTTTCTAATTTTTAAAAACAGAACTATACACCCATATATAAATAAGTCAATGAGGAGAAATACCATATATAATCACTTAAAAGACTGCAAACTACACAGACCTGGATCTTTGCTGACAGATCTGGGTCTGTGCAATTTCTTAGAAGTAATCAGCAGAACAAAAAGCACAGACCCTGGCCTGCAGGCACATTATGTGACATCAGATCAGGATCTTTGTTGTTTACAGTTTAACTCATCTTATAAGCAAGCAAGTATACACAGTAAGTAAACAACCTGATCATGCTGTTAATGTTAACAATATGCTATATTATTAATGAACTTAAATTTAACATTAAAATAACACTATTAAAGTGAGACATGCATATAGCCAAGGTAGGTGGGGTAGTTAGAATTGCAACCCTTTAAATTTTTTGGAATATTAATAATTTATGAAAGTAATTTTTCTGCAAGATGAGATCTAACATAAATATATTTCTTTATTAATGCCTAAAGAATTTGAAGTTTGATTTTTTTAAACAAAAAAAAATAGCTGGCTGCCACTGAAAAGGGACTACATACATATTTTCACTTTACTGCAACCCAATTGCAGTGTATCTCATTCTGCTTTAAGGGAATCACTTTTTGGCATGAAAAATGTCTGCAGTTTGAATATTTTTCACTTACTTTATTGATTTCTTGCTAAACAATTTGGAAAAAATATAAAATTTACCATATCACTAGTTATATAAGCTACTCCATTGATGGGCTTTCAAATAACAAGCATAGAAAGAATTGAAGTGTTTTCAATCTTCTAGCAGCCATTGATTAGAAAATATTTACTATCAATATATGAAAATTTAGGGATTAATACAAATCATTTATAGCATGTACTTACTACAGCACAATATTTCCCCATGATAAGCCTAGCAACAACATATGAAAAAAAAAAACCAGCAAGAGATACTAGAGGGCATGATGTCACCACCTGTCTTACATATCTAAACAGTTGATCATTTCACTAAACAGCCTTAAATAGTAGCATAACACAAGCTGGGTAAACTATTTCCAAAACTGATAAAGAAGGAATAGTTAATATGCACAGTCTCTTGCTCATAAGCCAAGTCATCCAATATTTTGATAATCACAAACCCAACAGATAAAAATATGGCTTCAAGAGAAGTACAATGCTCAGTCAATCAGATGGAAGATCAACTCATTAATATGCATCAGTCTCATTCACTAATGAAACTGTCTAAGATCTGTATGATAGAAGCATATATTCCAAGTTTGATCCACTCAGATCATATATATATTGCCTCCTGAATGGTAACAAGCTTAGTCAATCAGATGCAAGATTACATTATTAAATATGTGGATATTGCTCATTATCAAACTCATCAATAATCCTGATGATATAAACCCATATTGCATTAGTGAACAAAACTGGATAAGAAATTTGGCTTACCAAGGAGTAACAAACTCAATTAATCTGAAGAAAGATTCTGTCATTAGTATGCATGGATCTCATTTATAATGGAACTCATCCAAGATTCTGTTGACATAAGCATACATTTTAAGCTTGATCAAAACTGGATCAGAAATACAACATCATGAGTGGTACCAAGCTCAGAGAATCAGATGCGAGATCACTTAATGCATGGATTTTGCTAATTATCAAACCTGTCTGATATTTTGCTGAGACAAACCCATGTTCCAAGTTTGATTGAAATAAGATCAAAAGTATGCACTCTAGAGTCATAAGAAGCAATTGTTCATCATTAGAGAATTATGGTATCTTTTGCAAAAGAAATAGAAAGAAAAGCATATTCAGAACTCATGCTGCAATTCAGATGGGTAGAAAACTCTCAGCTCATGGAAACATTTTTTTAATTTTCAAAAGTTAATATAACTGAATACAAAAACAAACAATCACTACTAATTTCTTCATTCCAAAAGTAAATACACAAGTAACATTTCTGTCAGACCATTTCACAGCCACACAACTCTGCTATCTAATCAAAAAGACAACTTAAAATGAATCACTCCTGTGTTCTTCAATTAATTCCTCAGAACAAAGTTAGCATAGCCATAAATTGATCACTTGGCCAATCATGAGTAGTCAATCAAATATTACATACTTGAAATTCCAAAAGAATTCTAACTATTCCAGCTAAATGTGAATCATTATGTAATCACATCTGGAAGTATATGGGGAGTTAGGCAAGAGCAATGAACGGTACGATTAACATGTACCATATAACAATTTTATATGAATAAAATTACATTTTCATACACTGTCATGAAATTTTCACATTATACTTAAAAGGTCAAGTATATTTAGAAAGGTACTTTTCAAGAGACAAATGCTGATATTAAATGAACCATTATGCTAATGAATAGTCATTCAACATATTTTTGGAGGGATAATTTGATTGCATGCACCATGATCCCTTTCTGAATTGATTTTATACCACATTACCTCTACTTTCTTCTCTTCTACCTTGGGGGTCTCTGTTGGTTCTGCAGGGGATGACTCCTTGTCTTTGCCTTGAAGCTGCAATGTGAAAGAAGAAATGCTACAATTGCTGACACACTCACAGCTTTTCCACCTATTGCAGGATTTAGCTGCTTTTTCAGGTTTGCATTTAAACTAAAAACTTTCTTTGAAGCTTTTCCAAAAATATGGACATAAGTTATAGTTTTCTCTTCAAATATAGCATGTTTCAGTGTTGAAAAACTTGATATCCTGAAATTCTGGGCTCTTTTAGTCTTAGATCGAGGGCCTCCTGGATTCTAAAAAATGTTGCCCATTAGGCTTGAAAGCATTCCCCAAATTTCAATACTAGATCTACTCTGTTGATATAATTAGACTGATAAATACTTGAGTGACAAAACACAACTTATTTATTTTAATCATCCCCCACAAAAAACACATAAGCTGATTAATAGTCAGTCCCCTGCTGGGGACTTTATTCATACATCCACCTGTTCTTTATTATTCATAAAGGACAAATTTATATCTTGCTTAGAAGCCATGTAGCTCAGTTGGTAGAATATCAGACTCTTAATCAAGTGATCATGGGTTCAATACCTGTCCAGGCCAGGCTGAGTCAGCTTGTATATCATTGGTAAAAGCACTTAGCTCCATTTCATTTGCATGATGTATCCAAAAGTGAGTTAAACGTAGTGTTAAAATATACCTGTAATACATGACTGGTTCAATGGATGTGTACTGGTTTCTAAGTGACAGGTAAATTAACTAAGGGTATTAGTGTCTTATCAGGGCACTCATGACCATGATTTACAATCAAAATGAAATTGATCAATATTTTCATCCAGTTAGTTCATGTAAGTTTTTGTCACTGACTCCACTGATGGTTGGTATAGGTAGGTCCCTGTCATCTTTGATTCTTACAGGTCCACTGTACTGTGACATTAGTAAACATAAAGATTCTACTTTCAAAAGACAAAATTAGTTCCAATGGAAATTTACTTAAGAAAAACAACATATGAACCATGTTTTTGTAGTTAAAGCTTAAAATGAAGAAAATATGAAGATTTCTTGTGAATTCATGTTAACATCTGGACAAAGAAACTACTGGTATTGAAGTCACTGAGTACAGGCTAAAGAGATGAGAATGGTATCACAAGTTTGGTAAAGTAATTTTATTAAGTGACATGTTCTGAGTTTGCATCTGAAAAATAATTCTTTAAGCTTTATGTTTTATTTTGACACCAAAGACAAATTTCATCTAACTTTATCCATCAACAAACAAATTATAAAAAAGAAATAAAATAGAAATAAAACATGTCAAATTTTTCAATTGAAAAGACTTTAAAAACTTCTCTCTTACCATGTGTGGAATGCTGTTTGTCTGCAAAATTGTGGAAAAAAGGCATTTTTCCCTAATCTTAACTTGTAACTAAGACTAAACAACCAGCTAATTTTGTTAATACCTTCTTGTTTATACATTTTGGCCCAATGCAAGACAATGATTTGCATACAGTTATTACCATGGTACATTATACATTCATCACTAACATGGTACATTGTACATTCATTACTAACATGGTACATTGTGTGTGTGTGTGTGTGTGTGTGTGTGTGTGTGATTCAGATTTTTAACATAGCTTTTAAAAAAAAATTTCAGTCATATTGCTACGATATCTGCAGTGAAAGTTTATAGTGCTGTCTAGCACTGGGGCATCATGCAGCATACATGTGGCATGATGTCCCACCCAGTCACATTATCCTGACACCATGCCGATCAGTCCTAACACTAACCTCTTAATGCTGAGCCCCAAGTGAGGGAGCTGTTAGTACCATTTTTTTAGTCTTTGGTATGACTTGGCCAGGCAAAAATGAAAATATACCATTCTTTCTGATTTTGATGTAATGCATTTATACAAAACCATGTTTTAAATTTAACAGAAATCCTTCAATACAATATAAAGAAAACAAAAATTTCCAATGAGTGAAAAGTTACATAAAAAAATTATGTTGGTGCAAACAGCATATCATTTTCAGTACTTCAAACAAACACTATGTACAACAAATGATGATCTCAGGAGCAAAGTGAAAGTAATTAGCAATCTCAGCAAATCTGAAATTTAGAGATTCATATGGATTTTGATTATTTTCAGGGAGATCAACTCCAGCATTTATCACCATCCCCATAATGTACTAGGAAGTTTTCAGAGTGGGAATTATCCTGGTCATACAAAAATGGAAATTGGAACCATGTTTGTCAATTAGGCCATACCAAGCACTCATTCACCATACTTGAAATACATTTATATCACTCAATTTTGACTTGATAGTAGAATTAGCTAACCTAAAAGACAATTCTAATTTAAAATACATTAGTCCAACATACATGTACTTGGAGTTTGAGCTTCTGTTAACTAATATAAGTATAGTCTCTTTGCTATCCCTTATCTGACCATCAGAGTAATTTTTTTTCAAAGTTATAATTACAATTTTTTTTTAAAGTCAGCTAAATTTTTTAATTATTTTCAACATACTCGAGTATAATTTTTTCAAGAAATTGTTAAGGTGTTAATTTTTTCCATTATTTTTGCAAGAGTTCATTAAGAAGCAGTTTGGAGGAATTACCAAACAGGTTTTATTGAAAGAAATGCAACAGAGACAGGGCAAGATGTGACTGGCTGCTACCCATGGTAAACCTGACATGATTTGCATGGGAATGAAGTGCTTCTTCTAGCCATTGCAGTAACTGACCTCTTGAAAGTACATGATTACTGCTACATGAAATGGGTATTCTCTGTTACTAGATTTATTCATTCTATATGGACAAGAACTGTGTTTGATGCATATACCAGTGACAATATCAAAGAACAACATTTTTAAAATTAAAATGTAAAATTTGCAAATTGCACATGCACATGGTTATACTTTATTTTTAACTCAATTTAAAAATGTTAGATTTGCCTTTTAATTTTCATATAGTTTTCAATTTTATTGGTGGTTTAGGTTAATCAAACTGATTAAAGGTAATGCTGACATTCCATTTTGTGTTCGAAAAGCAAAGACCCCCCCAATATCACTCCTTGATGTGCAACTACTACCCCTTATTGTACCAAAAAGACAAGGATCAGTCTTAGAACAAAGAGCTGTGAGGTGTGTTACCAAATCCAAACTAAGACCCTCATATTATCTGTAGGAAAGTTAATTGTCACCAATAAATATATTTAATGCAGAGGTCACTTTCACCTTTGCTATAGTGTCCTCCAGAATTTTTTCCACCTCCAGGTAGACACTTCTACTTTCCTGGGTGGAGTCAACATGGCACAATGTGCCAAACTTGCTGAACCACTTCTCCAGTTTGGGCCATGAATCCAGGAAGCCAGTTATCCTGTAGGACATGATTGAATATTGACATGAATACTGTGATATTTAACACAATGTGGATATTGTATGCATGTGTAAATGCAGATAAAATTCTCACAATATCATATAATTATTTTAACTTCATCAGATACTGTAAAAGATTTTCTAGCTAGTTATGACATTTAGGAAATGAAGTTTTGTCAACAAATTGTACAGCATCAGCACTGTTATTTTCATGTACATTTTTTATTTATGGATTAACAACAATGGACAGACACTTACTAGATCAGCGCACAAAATTGTACAATTTACAATCTAAGACTATTATAATTTGGCAATCATCATATCTTCCTAATAAGACAAGAAAAGGGTATTAGGTCAAATTTATTTCATATGATTTCCCTCATTGTATTTCAACAGCAGAAAATGTTATTTATTCCAAAGGTTTTATTGTAAGAATTGAATTTGATATCTGTATTAATGAAAATATTTATTCATATGTACCATAACATGATATATTAATATCTCATAATCAATATTCATACAATATAACTAAATTCTTCAGTGTAAAAAGTATTATAATATCATGAAATGCAGGGAGAAATCATTTTTTTATGAATGCATTTGCAAAATGCTTAACTTGCTATAAAATATTGAGTACTTTAGTCTTCATTTCTATCAAAACATGAGTAGTTGTGTCATGTATCAACTGTAAAGCATGTACTCAGAAAAGTACTATATATAGACCAACAACTCAGCATTGGTCAGCCAAGATTGCATTTTAATGTTTGATTTACATTGATAAAATGACTAGTCACTATGTGCATAAATATAATTAAATCATGCACAGTTGTTATTCATTAATATCAAGAACATATAATATTTCTGCTAATATAATTTCTGCAGAAATCTTGTGTCAATGATTAGATATGTTGTAAATGTGGCTGAATATGGATCAAGTGAGTATTGGTCTAGTGAGTCTGTTGTTGATTACTGGTCTGCTATTGAGTTTTGTTATAGTGAGTCTTATATTAAGTGTTGGTTTATTGAATCTGCAATTATTTTTTACTTGCTGTTACTAGGAAAAAAATCTGATAAAATAAATAATTAAAACATATACACTAGCCAAAGAGAAGGCAACTGGTCAAGAAAACTTTTCTAATTAAAAAACAACTCCTAAATAAGTCAAAGTATCAGTTCCAAGGACCATAAGCTTAATTATTAAAAGCATGCTGTGAAAGATTATCATCAGTTTACTAGTTTCAGTTTTTAGATTTACAAAACTGTATAGAATTACACTCTGATTCACTCACTCAATCAGTACTTTCCCCTTTTTTACACTGTATCACTGCATCATGGTCTTTTCAAGGTTATTTTTAGTAGAATAACTCAGGTGTCAAAAGAAATGGCCAGAAAAGGATGAAGAATTCAAACAAATTTACAGAGGATTAAACAGTACCATTCCTGAAGCAATACACTGAGATAATTATTGCTGTTTCTCCAGCTTTTTAACCTTTCAAAAATTCAGTAATAAACTTTCAATTTTCTACAAATTTATATTAGTCAAGGAAGCAACAACGAATACTTGGATGCATGACATCCTCATGATGTAATTTGATAAGCCAACACACATGCATTTCCAGCAGTGGATTCTGTATTATAGTCAAGGTGTTTTTCCATTCAATGGTTGAAAAGCATCTGTCTGTTAGGATCAAACCAAAATGCTCACATGCAAATCACTGGGACCATAAAAATATTCAAAATGAAAAATTCTAACTAGTGAAAGGTACTTATTACATGCCAGGTAATGGGTGGGTGGGTGGATGGGGGTATAAAATTAAAGCAGAATGAGATTATTAATGTACCTGTGTTGAATCTGTTCCTGGTCATAAGATGGGTCTTCCACAGGTACAACTTTCATTATTTTACCAACACCTGTAACACTGCCCTCTGGTGGTGGGTTAAACTCTTCCTGATACTCCTTTTCTGACTGTATGGATTCTGTTTATATCATCATCATCATCATTATTCATTATTATTACTATTATTATCATCATCATCATTATCATCACCACCACACACACCATCATCATGTTCACATTTACTAGTCTCAAAAAGTTGTATCATAATTTTTATAATTGTATCATATGCCAATAGATAATTTAATACTTAGGAAAATAGCCAAGAAAGATCATTTACAGCATTGTCATTAGACACAAAATTTATAAAACTGGTTGAAAATAATATAACTG